TTTTTTTTTTTTTTTTCTCCCAGTGACTGTGAGCTCTTTGAAGGCAGAGCCTGTATTTTTCATCTTGTTTTATTCTCAGAAGCTAGTGCAGTACCTGGCATGCATGCTTGGATGTTCTTTAGACGTTCAGTGAATTAAAGGGAGTAAGGTTGGGAGTGGATGGCAGAGGAAGCTGTGGTGTAGCAAAAGAAACCATCTAAGGTTTGGATTCAGAAGATCTGACTAAATCAAACTCTTCCCAGCATTGTAAGTTCAGTATGTATTTAATTTTTCTGAACTTTAGTTTCTCCATCTACATAAAAAATAAAGCTACACAATAACTGTATTTAGCTGACACTTAGCATATAGTTTATACTGGGTGCCTGACACTATTTTAAATGATTTACATAAATTAACCTCTGTCATCTTTAAAATAAACCCATGAGGTAGGTTCTATTATATGCTCATTTTACAGATAAGAAAACTGAAGGACAGAGTGATTAAGTAATTTGCCTAAGGTGTCCATGAGGACCAAATGAGGTGGTATATGTGAAAAGCAGTTTGTAGATGGTAAAGCAATATACAAATGTTCGATATCTTTACACTTTCCTAAAGGATATTAGTCGGCTTATAACAAACGACATATTCTACAGAAACAAGGTTTCTGGTTTCAGATTAGACATGTAAAGAGTTTGGAAGTCATCATTCCCATCGTCACCAACAAGAAAAAAAAAGCTTAACAAACAGAAAATCAGTGATTTTTCTTAGGTCGGCCAGAGAATTGAGGTTACAAGGCAAGCTGTCACCCTGGAAACTGGAGAGATGGTAATACAGAGAATCACAGAGAATCAAAGCTTACCAGGGGCAGAAGCTAATGGAGCTGGTAACTCAGAGGAATGCTTAAACAGTAATTGATGAATTGCTGGAGGCTTAGTGTGGACTAGTTTAAGAGCTTAAAAAAAAAAAAGAAAAAGAAGAAGCTAAATACTCCTAGGTGCTTAGTCTTAGGGAGGCCCTGACCTTTGCATGGGTTTTAGTTATAAGAACCCAAGTTATCACAGTGAAGATTGGAGGAGGATAATTCACTCATGTTTCTGGCAGGGGGAAGGGAAAAAGTAACCATTTTGAAATACACTCAGAGCATGCTGTTCTCCATAACAAAGGCCTGCCCTCAAGAGAAACTATTCTACCAGAGCCTTATCTGACCTAGTAGAAGACAATTAGACCACTGCAGCCCTTCCAGCCTTCCTGTTGCACATAAGGGAGGAAAAAAAAAAAAAGGCCAAGAAACACTTCTGAAGGTCACAGTCCAGGGACTCAGGCCTGGTTTAAAAAAAAAAAAAAAAAGCCTAAATTTAATCATAAGATAATAGAATGCTTCCCCTCTGTATTATACTTCCATCACAAATCAATTATAATAACTGAATTACAACTAAGCAAAGCTGTAAGACACTTTATTTAAGGAGGCATTTCTAGGGAAACCCCAAAACAGCAGGGGAGACATAAACAAGGTCAATAGAAGAAATTAACTGGCATATACAGTTACAGCAGACATTCAACACAACTCAGCTTCTAGCTAGAGGAACATAAAAGCCTCACATTAAAAGAATGATTACCTCAGTTGCTTTTACTAGCTACATGATATCTGGCTTTCAACAAAAAATTACAAGGCAAGCTAAAAGACAAGAAAAAACACAGTATGAAGAGACAAACATCAGAACCGGACTCAGATATGACACAGATTTTAGAATGATCAGACAGGTAATTTAAATAACTGTGATCAAATATGTAGGGCCCTAAAAAGAAAAAAAAAAAAAAAAAAAAAAAAAAAAAAAGCAAGAACAGATAGGTAATAAAAGCAGAGAGATAGGAACTCTAAAAAAAAAAAATCAAAAGGAAATGCTAGAGATCAGAAATGCTATAACAAGCAAAAAAATGCCTTTTATGAGCTCATCAGTGGACTGGACACAGCTGAGGAAAGAATCATTGACCTTGAAGATATGTCAGTAGAAACTTCCCAGACTGAAATGCAAAGAGGAGGAAAATAAAGGGCCCAAAAGAAAAAAAAAAAAAAAAAAAAAAAAAAAAAAAGCAAGAACAGATAGGTAATAAAAGCAGAGAGATAGGAACTCTAAAAAAAAAAAATCAAAAGGAAATGCTAGAGATCAGAAATGCTATAACAAGCAAAAAAATGCCTTTTATGAGCTCATCAGTGGACTGGACACAGCTGAGGAAAGAATCATTGACCTTGAAGATATGTCAGTAGAAACTTCCCAGACTGAAATGCAAAGAGGAGGAAAAGAATAGGGGGAAAAAAGAACAGAAGATCCCAGAACTATGGGACAATTACAAAACATTAAACATCCTGGTAATGGGAATACCAGAAGGAGAGGAAAGAGAAAAGAACAGAAGAAATGTCTGAAGTAATAATGACTGACAATTTTCCAAAATTAATGACAGACATCAAACCACAGATCCAGGGATCTCAGAAAACACCAAGCAGGATAAATACCGCCTCTCCCGCAAAAAAAAAAATGATGTGTAGGCATATCATATTCAAACTGCAGAAAACCAAAGACAGAGAAAATCTTGAAGGAAGCCAGAGGAAAAATATACCTTACATATTGAGAAATACGGGTAAGAATTATATCAGACTTTGAGTCACAAAGCGGGCAAGCAAGAAGAAAGTAGAGTGAAATATTTATTTAAAGTGTTGGAAAAAAAAAAACCCAAAACCCAGCAGCCTAGAATTCTTTATCTAGCAATATTTTCCTTCAAAAATAAAGAAGAAATACTTTCTAAGACAGCAGTGTTACAAGGGGTGAAAGGGAGAAATGGGTGATACTCCCTTATAATGTACCTGTACCTGCACTATTTGTGAAACGGTATACAGTTGACCCATGGACAGCATGGGGCTTAATCTGAGTATACCTTATAGTTGGCCCTTCTTGTCTTCATCCATGGATTCAACCAACCATGGACCATGTATGCTGTAGTATTTACTACTGAAAAATATCCACTTATAAGCAGACCTGTGCAGTTCAAAGCTGTTTGTTCAAGGGACAACTGCAGTGTTATTTGAAAGAGGAGTTGGATGAATTGTAAATGTATATTGCAGACACTAGGGAAACCACTAAAATATTTATAAAGAAGTATACTTAAAATTCTAAGAAAGGAGAGAAAAGTGCAATCATATACAATACTTAAAACCAGAGAAGGCAGAAAAAGAGGGGAGGTTAAAAGAAGAAACAAAGAGCAAATGCAGAGTATGCAAATATATTAATTATAAAAGTTGTGTTTTTTTTTAAATGAAAATTGGTGACTTTAAAGCTCATATTTATTGTCTTTTTTTTCCCCTATAGTATTTAACTGTGCTCTTATATATTCAAGTTTTTATTTTAACGGAACTGTCCTCTGGAAGAATTATGGCTCTTTAATTTTACTCTACTGAAAAACAATATTGTGATTCTATACTCAATCTTTATTTTTTTTTAATGTAAGTTTCCTTTATTAAAACAGAATTTTTTTGCCTTCTGTGCTGCTGCTATTTTCAGCAATGAGACTGAAGATGTCTGACTGACTGTAGACTGTCTCCCAGGTCACTGCTGCCCAGGGGTACTGGCAAATGTGATTAATGACATTTTTGGCTCTTCCTCTTTCCTTTTGACCTGAGTCAGGCCCCTGTCCTGTCCTGGTTCTCTGTCTTGGTCTCTAATGGTGCACAGAAGGAAAGTTTACCTTGTAAACTTTCCAGATGCAAATACTTTCAGCAAATAACTTTCACCATTATTAAAGACACTTAAGCATTGTTTTTCTTCCTTCCCCTTGCACTAGCTTTTAGAAATGAGCTTTGAATATTATTTTTTTTCTAAAATATTCCCTCCAGGCTCAGTCTGTGAAACACTGTTGGTGCACCTGGGGAAGGCCTGGAAGCACATGGGCCAGCCTTGGGTGCACTGCCTATGTGTGAGCTGAGCCTCCTGAATAAACAAGCTGCTCTCAGAACTGGCCCATGGCCAGGGCTTAATGAGGCCAAATGTAGAACAAAACAAAATCACCCAAAGCTGGGTGGCAGTGTGTGCCTGTCATATTTTAGGCAGAATCTTTTTTTAGCAAAGACATTCTACCTTGATGGTAATGTCACCTTGGAAAGAGATGACTTCTTGGGAAGCAGCAAGAGAAAATTAATGTAATATAATGTCATGGTATTAATGTGTCACTTTAATGATGCTTCATTTCAGGGATCTTTTTTTATAATATCTTCATTTATGTTTAGTAGAATGGTACATTTTGTTCTGCTTTATGGTTTCCAAGGATGATAATTATTATAGCCTGTATTTTAATTATTCCTAATTGGTATTAAGTAGTAGTCATTTTAGCATATGCAAAATGAAAATGAAAATGAAAATGTAATAATCCTGAAAGCCTCACAGTTACTAGAAATTCTTAACCAGGGAACTGTAGTGACAAATTAGAAGCCAAATGGTTAAGTTGCATTATGAAAACAAATAAAAACAACAACAGAAAAAAAAATAGATGGCATACTTAATCATCTCAATCATTCTTTAAAAAACACATTAATAGGTATTCATTATAATCTATAGTTTACATTTTTCAATGTATTATATATCCATTGTGTATTGTTCTTCAGTACTTTATTTCAATCTAGTTATCATTTGTATGTTTGAATTTTTCGTAAAACATTGTCTATGTATAAAAATATAGATTGTCAAGCAACTTCAAGATTTCTCATTTTCTGTAGAAATCCATTTTCTTATTTTTGGTAATTTTGCTAAAACCATTCCTGTTTTTGAGAAAACACGTAAACCTGGTGGATTAAGGAAATGGGTATATGGTTTTGAGTTGTACCAGCCTGTACCCTTCCAATTTTGTACCTATTTTCTCCTTTTTTCCCTTAAAATAAAGAATTTTCTGAGTGCTGGTGGATAAGGCTAAGGGGTTCAGAAAGGACCATCCATACACTGTAGGGGTATTTATTTAGCTTCTGAACTGTTTAGTGGTTAAAAATTTGTGAGAGAGAAAGATTGCGATCGTGTACAGGAAAGTGATGAGAAGTCACTAAAAGGGGCCTCTAACCCTGCAGGCAATTAAACACTTGCTTATCTTTGTCAACCACTGAGTCACATAAAAATTACCCTGGTTACCTGCGAGTGAAATTTCTAACTAAAAACACCCATAATGCATCACGACAATAGCCAGTTTCCCCCTCTCATACGTTTTGTGGGGTCAAGGCCCTGGCAGGATGTGTGAATTAGTTGCTTGGGTCTTCAGTTTAGCAACTGGCTATTGCACTTATGATTTTACTCTCTGCTGAGTCAAAATGTGTTCTTGAGAGAGACATGTGCTTAATTTCCAGATAGAAAACTATCTGCTCCGGAATCACGAGACTAGAAAATACCTTCAAGAGCAGGCCTACCGCCTACAGCAGGGCATTGTCACCAGCACCACGCAGCAGGTAAGAAGGTGCCAGTCTTCTCCCAGTGACAGTTCCTCCTCTTACACATGCTGAACTGACCCTTTAAAGAGCCAGGGACCAAGGATTTTTATCGTTTGAATCATTCCCAATGGGGCAGTAAGAACGTGTTTCTGAAAATGACAACAAATGTTAAGTAGAGTTTAGAAATGCTAAATATGCATTTTTCATTGTTGATGATTTCTGCCTTTTAAGATTGTCAGTAAGGTGTATCTTAGATTTATATACAACTATTAGGAACCCTGGATTACAGATGATAAAAGTCTGAGGGTAATTAAATTTGCTACTTTGGAGACATCCTATTCTTTTTCTTCTACTCCCTCTCACTTCTATGAGTAGGAAACAAATTCCCAGATTCTTCTGAAAAATTAAGAATTTGTTAAGAATTAGTCTTCTGAATAATTAAGAATTTGTTGAATGTTAATTAACACAAGTGCTGAAGAGAAACTAAACTGTTTTTTACTTCATTCCTCTTCTCTCTACCCAACTTTAGAATACAAAAAGTATGGGATGTTTTCCTCCAAAAATATTAACCAAAACCAAGGATCATAAGATATTTGAGGAAAACCTATAGGATGTCAAAGAAAGAAGAAGATAAACCAAAGAACTGAGCTCAGATAATTTAGAGTATGGCAGAGGACTTTAAAAAAATATTGTAATAAGTAAGTTCAGAAGGAATTGAGACAATATTATATCCATAAAATAGGAATGAGTTGCTATGAAAAAGAATAATCAGAGAATAAGAAACTGCTTAACAGTTGAAAATATGAAAACTGTAATATAGAATTAAATTAACCAGTAGGGCACAAATTAAGCTGTTTCTCTGGTAGAAAACAAGAGAAAATCTTAAAACATGCAGTGAAAAGACATAAAATATATGAGAGAAAAGTAAGTCAGAATCATGAAGAGATTAAAAGTGACCAATAGCCTTCTAATAGGAACCTCAAAATTTAAAAAGAGACATAATAGAAGAAGTTAAAAAAGAGAAAATAATAGAAAAGCATTTCATATGAATCTTGGGGTTGACCTACTGAAATTGATATGGGTGGATGGGTAAAGGCCCACACCTCGTCAGAACACTGAGAATAAAGAAAAAACATCTTAAAGAGTTCCAGACAGAAAAAACAGGCTGTCTTACAAGGGAACTGGAACCAATTCTTAGCATCAATCTCAATTACTAGAAACAAATGAGGTTCAGAGGGGGATTTGTTTTGGACCAAGAATTCTATATCTAGTCATTTTATCAAACAGATGCGAGGGCAGACTAAAACTGTACTCAGACATGGACCCAGAAATTTTACCCCCAATATTCTGTATGAAAAAAGGCTTTTTGAGGAAATTCTCCAGCGTAACAAAGAAAAACAAGAAAGTATACAATATGAGATATAAATAAGAAACTGAACCAGAAACGAAATCATAGAAGTTATAAGAGCTGAAAGAAAGCTTTAAAAAGTTGCCACTTTGGGAAAATCTGCTTTGAGCTGCAGAATTAAGATACAGGATTACATTTCTTTCTCTATGAATCCCATAATCATAATTCTATACCTGCATTTTAGTGGATTTAAAATTTTAATATCAACTTAGACAGGAAGGGAACACCTAATTATTGCTACACTAAAAAATTTACATGTTGGAAATTTTAATGTAAAAGTAATGAAACTAATTAAAATTAGGAGTTGAAGAGGGAGAAAGGTGAGTGGTAGTATAAGTATACTAAATTTTTACTTTTTGTTTCATGGAATAATCTATATTCTCTAATTTATAAATAAAAAATACAGATGTAAATCTATTTAAAGTTAAAATGGAAGCCACCAAAAGAATTAAAACAGAGGGTATTTCAGCAGATTGAGAGGAAC